AGCCCGATGCGGGACTCGATCCCGGGACTCCAGGATCATGACCTGAGCCGAAGGCAGTTGCTTAACCAACTGAGCCACCCAGGTGCCCCATAGGTCAGAATTTTAAGAGATTAGTCTTCACATTTAAAAATTTTAATTCATAAAAAAATAAAAATAAAAATTTTAATTCATAATCTCTTTCCTTGGCTTGTCTCTCAATCAGAATCACTTTTTAGGGAGAACTATATCTTGTGACAAAAGTACTTTGTCCTTTGGTTGTATGTTTTGAAAATGCAGAACAGATATCCTTGACCTTAGCACTTTCTAAGCAGGCATTTTCTCTTTTGGGAGTGTACTGAGAACTGCCTTTATTTTCATGAAAGTGACCTGTCCTCACGTATATTTAATTGCATTGTGATTTTTAGTTGTGGCACGTATGTGGATGTGAAAGCAGAACAAAATATCTCATAGCTTTTTGTGGCTCATGTTTTTCATTTGCAGCCTTCAAGCAAAATTAAGGTGCCTGAGAAGAATTTCTTCAATGTTCCTGCTTTCTTAACTGTTTCGGGACAACTTCACCTAGAAGTGATGTCAGGGTACAGAATTTTCTTTTCTCTTTTGCCTTAATGGACTACTGATTGTGGATTGGGTGGGAGTGAAATAATGCTTTCTTCCCCAATGCTAAAACCTAAAAATTGAAATTAGTGTTTACAATTAGTCCACTTGAATTCAGCAAGGTACATTTAGACTTGACAATAACCAAGTTTATTCCTAAAATCACATTAGGCTAGACTTTTGGTTTTAGTGAAAAATGTAACACTGGAAAGATGAAGTTGTGATTTTTTTTCCTTTTTGCTAATCTCTTTCTTTTTTCTTAAATCTCAAAATATGTAATCAGAATTTAAGTAAAATAATCATGTTTATGAAAGTAAAGGCAGTTATAGTTCATATCTGAACCAAGTATTAGCCCTTTGCATTTAAAACAACAGGTACCTGGAACAGATGGAAGAAACACTTCTTTAAGTAATTGGTTTAAATAAAGAAAATTAACTCACAGAACCATCAGGAGTGACATGTAACAAATTAGAAAGTCTTAGAAGTCAGATCACATGGTCTTGAAAATAACATATACTTAGATTCTTTTCTGATTTATCTTGAGACAAAGTGTTATTTGATAATTCCAATAACAAGATAATTGACAATATTATCAGAATACTGTGCAAAAAACTTACCTGTGATAATAGCCCTGTGAGACTATAGGATTTGCAGAGCAGTGGGTGGAAAAGGTCATGTCAGTCATGTCATGGAAAGTTCCTTATGCCTTTCAAAGCATAATTTTAAGAAATTAAAATCATGACTCATACAAGTATGAAGTGAACATGTATCAAATATTTTATTCAATTCATTAATTACTAAGGGAGCAAGTAAAGTAGTAAGGCTAGTTCAGAGAGCATTTGAAGAGCTGTGTATTCATAGGCAATTTAATAAGGAAATTTTAGAATAAGATTGCTAGGTTAGGGGGAGGAGCAAGATGGCAGAGGAGTAGGCGACCTGAATTTCGTCTGGTCCCAGGAATTCAGCTAGATAGGGATCAAACCATTCTGAATACCTATGAACTCAACAG